AATTGGTCAACTTAAACTTTCGTATACACAGGAGTTTACGTTCAACGTCGTTGTAACTTCAAAGCTACAAGATACATTCGTTTGGATAAAATTACTAAAACTATTGAATACACTAATAATTTCTGTTCATATGTTGATATTTATTAATGTCATACTGCATCAATTTTGTTATAATCACGAAATAAAATTCGGCCCATAGAGGGTTAAATTATTTGTTCGCGACTTAGTCTTCCAAATATGAACATCTGATCTCAAAATGTCGACGTTCGTTCGCAAAGGGTTAACATTGTTACCGATCCACCTTAGGGATTCAATCTATCCGATCTTCGATTCTCGTCCACCATCTGGTTCCTCAAATTCATTTCCTTCCCAGTCCGAAAACTCGATCCTCTTTCTCCGCCACCGGGTAGAGAACGGTCCACGGTACCTCGTGCCGAGTGGACACCTAGAAGAATAGGATCGGCAGCCATCCATTACCAGTAGTCGATTTATTCCGGAACGGGGGATTATCAGGAATTACCGAGCATCGACCGTGTGTTTATCCTTTGTGTACACCGGTTTCCATCAATCCGAGTGCCCTCATCCCGCCTGCGGCGAACATGTGTACGCGCACGCGCAGTCGGCGCATATTTAACCGAACCGGAATCGCGAACGAAGGGCAGCTGCCCCGGCAATCATTTTTCCTCCACCCATCGTCTGCCACCGCACGACTTTTCATCTCTTCGAATTGATGGTACGCGTCTCCGCGGTGTTCCCGCTCGGTCTGCGCTCTTTCTTCTTTTTTCCCTTCTCCTTCTTCTTCTTCTTCTTCTTCTTCTTCTTCTTCTTCTTCTTCTTCTTCTTCTTCTTCTTCTTCTTCTTCTTCTTCTCTTCCTCCTTCTTCTTCCCTTTTTTCCCTCGGTTATTATGCTCTTTGGTGGAAGCGGTCGCGCGCCGAGGTTTTAACGATCGGCGAGACGCGATGCAACGGCAACAGCGCCATCTCTGCGAGCGTGGGCCCACGAATTAATTAGTACCGACCGTTCCATCGATTTTACGCCGAACCAGATTGAACGCCGTGCGCGTCTACGCACACCCCTAACGGTTCTCGCGGCGTATTAATCCATAGTTCTAATTTCCATGATCGCGATACCGAGAACAAGTTCACACGATCGCTGTTCCCCGAGAAAAATTCGAAACGAACCGTTCGAACCCTTAGCGCTATCGGATTTTCGCAGTTCGGTGAAGCCAGGCCGAGTACGGCTTCGAGCCGCCATCTTTACGCTCCCTTTTTCTCATTTTTCCCCGTTCGCTTTCCTTCGATCGTCGCTCTCCGTAATATTGTTTGAAACGTAACGAGTTCAACGGTCCGGACACACGTATTCCGTAATACCTCCACGACGAAGGGGTTGCGTGCGTGTGCGCGTGCACACGTGCATACGCTTTGCTCTCTTTCGCCCGTTTTCAGCTACTGTTGCGCGTCTTGCTTCTTTTTCGGTCCTCCGTTTAAACTCTTCTCCTCTGTTTGCCGTCGTGCTTCGATCGTTTCATTCTTTTTCTCCGCTCTCCCGTTCGTTTCGTCTCTGTTCCGTCGACGGTGTATCGTCGGACTCGTTTTACTCCCTAAAATTCGCATTAGCATAATACGCGACCCCCCTCTCCGCGCGCGTTTCGTCCCTTTCCCTTTCCCTGTGCAACCCTTGCGCCAAGCCGCACTCAATACCGGCTGATTAACGGCGATGATGAGTTCTTTCCGATGAATCGTTCCCACGTATATATCGCGCGACATTGTTCCCCTTTTCGTGAGACCGCGCGCCGTGTCCCGGTCTCTTCGGTATAGTTAATTCAGGTGATTTCTATGGGCCGTTGTTCCACTTGTCCGCCGATTGTTTTATCTTTCTATTACATCTTCGATCAACGTCGCCGAAACTTTCGGACGAGAAATCGACGTTCCGTTTGCGCAGGCATTCTTGAAATCCATAATTGATGCTCCATGTCTCGTGCGACGCGCGCGGAACTGTTCGCGAGACCGGTTCACGAGTGACTTAACGGGCAAATAAATAAGCATGAGTGGACGATAGTAATACTCTGGATGAAAAATTGATAGAAATTTCAGGTACAATCTAAAGGACGCTTTCTTTGCGTTAACGCGCACCGGAAGTTGCGGTTGTATTTTGCTTGTAAAGTGCACCAAGTTTTTCAATGATAGATTGACAATAGAACTATCGAATAGAAATCACCCATTCGTGATTGCTTTCGCGATTATTAAAAACTTAGTTTCTTCTTTGGGAAGCTATTAAACGAATTCATTTCGAAACGCGTAAACTGAATTCTGAATCAGTTGAAGTCTCAATAGATGCACTCTTAACCCTTTGCGGACGAATGTCGGCATTCTGCTGAAATCGAACTTCCACGCTTGGAATACCAAGTTACGAACAAATGATTAACTATTGGAACAGCAGGAAATCAGTACAGAGTTTCCTTATTCTCTACGATTTAAGCATTCAGTGTTTAATTTAGCAGAATCTGCAGGTTTTGTATACTTCTGACAATCTTCGTCCGCAAAGGGTTAAAGTTTTTACAGAGGAATTTCGAAAAGTCAACTTCAGTGCTCGGTATTAAATTACTTCTGCTGACTTCAGATATTTTCATATCATCTCTCTACGTCTTGGTTATTTCACGACGTGTACCAGTGTTCTGACGCAAGTCTCACAGAAAATCCTTAGAAAAATGTGTACCATAAATGGTACACATGGCGCAGAACGCGTTAACGTCGACAACGCGCCGAAGTAATTTATGCAATGTCTCGTAAACGAAATAAATTGTAAATCAACTGAGAGATACGAAAAAGAAGTGGTGTTCCACGATTGGTACTCGGTGCCAATTGTCGTAAAGTTTCACTTGATATTTTCGCTAGCCTAATTCCGTATCCGCGGGGAGAAAATCGCGCGTATCCGTGTGCGATTCCGGAAACCCCGGTGTAGATTCATAGTCTGAACAGATGGCTCAGCCGAGCACCTAGAAAGTTACTTACTTATTATATATGCTTTGGTGAAATCTAGGTAATTCTCATTGACACTGTTCTAAAATCGCTATTGTAAACTACTATTATGTTATAAGTATCCTCAAGAAAGTGGAATACCACATCCGCGTCGATTTCGAAGCGCTTTTCTTTCTCGCTTCTCCTTGAATCGATGGAAGTCAGCTTCTAACGCTGTTTACATAATACCTGATAATTACAAATTCAATTTTACATCGTTATTTATCGCCTCATAAGATTCTCCTGTTTATACTCTGGTTCTGCGAACGTTACACGAGAGGGAAAGAGAGAGAGGGAGAGAGAGAGAGAGAGGCTAAGAAGCTTTAACGACGCGTGAACTCCTCGCAATCTCGTATCCGCGCGTTATCAATCCGATTGCAACTTGATGCACCTGTAAGGGAATATTATCTGGATATCTCTATCGTTTTATTGACATGTGGATGAGCTCGGTGGGTGGCACTGGAGCGTACAAACAGAGTACCGGATTTTATTACCTTCTGATAACGTTTAAGCACTCACTTGCTGGTAATATATTTTTCTATGTAACCTATATATTGAACTTTGTTGAATTTACTCTTTACACTAATATCTTCATTCTCTGGGAAACTCACTCTAATACAATAAAAATTAGTAGATAACATGATTGTTGCTTAACATATTTCAAAACAAAATTTTTTTCTCTATGTAACCTATATATTGAACTCTGTTGAATTTACTCTTTGCACTAATATCTTAATTCTTTGGAAAACTCAAATTTTGCAATTTTGGAACAAAAACGTCACGTGCATAGCACGTCTTTCCATCGAAAGTGGTTAACATATTTCAACACTACATTACCTTACAATAATGACGGGAAGAGCGACGAGGCTCGTATAATACAATTTCACACAATGCAGCATTTTCTAGGAACCTATTTACCGTGTTACAGGAAGGTTGCTTGTATCTTATTATTCATAAAAACGGGGGTGAACGGAGAATCGAATACAAAACTGAAGAGAAATCATTCCCGATTGAAAAACGTGAAAACCGAAGGGTGGACGATGCATGTATTTCGGTTGGGCCACGAACTCTAGCTAGCCGCGACGAGCCGAGAGAGCAAGCGTGTTACCGGCCACGCTATCGAAGCCCCTTAGTGTTCCTTGACTTTTTCCGGTCTTTTTTTCCGCTTGTATAGCGGAGGCTTCCCACACGTACGCGCACTTTTGAACGTCGCGCAGTATCTAAATATTCAATGCAAATTGGATCCCATTGAGAAAAGGATGCTTTGCATTCAATACGCGTATGGTCCTTCGACGGTGTAATGAATGTACGTTTCCAAAGGCGTTTTTCTGCACGGCTACGAAATTCGGAGGCCGAACGTAATGCGGTCCGTGAATCTTCGAAGGAATTAATAATATTCAATTAACCCTTTGCACTCGGGATGTGACTCACCACTTGGTTTTATACAGTGAAATTATAAAGTTTGATGTTTAATATTGTACTTCAATGCATTAACCAGTTAACTGTTTGACGAGTATACGCGTCATCTTAAAACGCTTAAAACATTGAACGCCATTGAAACCAAAATTTCTAACTTATGGAAGAGAATGAGGGATTCGATTTTGTAAATTTTACTTTGGATTTGTGTTATACATATCTAGAATGTTACATGAACGCAGGATTGGCAATTAAACGATAGACTAATGGTGCTAACCTTTTCAACGATGGATTATTTATTTTTCGAGACTTCATTATTCGCCTTTATTGCGCAATGAGAGATTTTTCAAACTAAATTCCACGCTTAACTGGTTAATCTGAGAAATATCGACGTAAAGCTTTGCCAATTCGCGTGAATTTCTCGTCGAGTTTCACAAAGTATCGTCTTCACCTCATCAGAGAATGTTGAAATATTGAAAAACTTCGGAGTACAAAGGGTTAACAGTAAGAAACGAATGGAATTGGAATAGCAGGATACTAATTTCTATTTTCTTGTTTGTTGCAGAATGTGGACCACAAGGTGAAGTTCCGTTCTAAGAAGGGAGGGCTGCCGTTCATCGAGCTGAACGGCGAGGAGATCGCGGACAGCACCATCATCCTCCGCGAGTTGAGTCAAAAGTTCGGCAAGGATCTCGACGCCGCGCTCACGGCCGAGCAGCGCAGCGTCTCCCACGCGATGATATCGATGATCGAGAACCACCTAGTCTGGGTGGTGATGTGCTGGCGCACCAAGAATCTCGATCAGGTGTTGAAGGGCTTCAAGGTGAACCTTCAACACGTTCTCGGCACTCGTATCCCCAACGGCATCCTGAATTTCTTCTTCAAGCTGACGATCGGCCGCAAGGTAAACTTCTCAGTCACGTTTCCTTTCTCGGAGCTTCGATATATATATATACGTAGAAAAGAAAGAATATGGTTGGAAAGATTTGTTTGTCAATAGAAAAGATAAGGTAAATGGTGAATAGACCGTGTGATATAGAGCGCCTGCTTGATAGTCACTCGTAGACGCCTTTAGAACCTATCTTGACAGTAATAGGAAAGCAAAATACAAAACGTAGCGTTGTGATCATCCGTAGTGAAGTATAGTGGGATTTGTTTCAGAGCGCGAAAAAGGTGAAGGCTCAGGGTATGGGCGTTTATACCCCCGAAGAAGTGTCCCAATTCGGCTGCGACGATCTCAAGGTCCTCTCCGACATGCTGGCTGACAAACCGTTCTTCTTTGGGGATGAACCGACTACGGTAGGTATCACGGGATCATCCGGGAATGGATCAAACTGTGTAGCTTCAAGCACTTCAATTGACTTTTGAAAGTTTCACTATAGAAACTCCAAGAGTGCATCTGTTCAGACTTTAATCGATTCACAGTACAATTTGCGTAGTGCTAAATGAATTTCTTTAATAATTTCTCAGAGAAACATTCGTTACCTTTCTAATAATATGCGAAAAGAAGACACCAGGCATGGCTCATTCGACTCTGGTAGTTTTAGCGTTAACACATTGCGTACCGATAACGAGAAATCTCGTTTTTGTATAAAGACACTTAGCAACTTCGCTCATTTCCACAGTATCGAAGAAATATAAAATTCAATTCGAATTAATTATATATTTAAAATATATTACACAACAATATGATATCTGAGTTTTGTTGATTACTATGTATACATATTACATATTACTATGTACAGTGATATAAGTTGACCTCAGTAAAAATTGCCATCCGCACAATTCAGTTTTCTGAAAATTAGCCGGTACGCAACGTGTTAACGACAAGTTCCCCCGGATCCCTTGTCTAACGCGACACTTGAATTTCCTCAGTTGGACGTAGTAGCGTTCGCGCACCTCGCCCAGATCCTCTACATTGACAAGGACACGCCGTACAGTCTGCGGGACTATATGCAAGACAACTGCCCGAACCTGGTCGGACACTGTTCGCGTATGAAGGAACGATGCTTCCCGGATTGGGACGAGATGTGCTCCACCCTGGACATGAACACGCACCTCCCCAAGCCTGAGAAGCAGGAGGAGAAGGAGGGCAAGGAGGAGGAGAAGGAGTCGAAAGAGTCGAAGGAGGAGAAGGAGGGCGACAAGGAGAAAGCGGACAAAGAGGAGAAGGAGATGGAGAAGGACAAGGAGGTTGACGAGAACAAAGAAAAAGAGAAGGAAGGGAAATAAGCTGTCGCAGTAGAAACCGGCGAGAAGCAACAATATATGTCGTTCGAATGAGGAAAGATTCAACCGTGAAAAAATAATAGAGAGTGTGATCTGAATACGTGAAAAGGGGGGAGAAGGGAGTAACGCGGAGAGGGTGGGCAAGTATGTATGTATGTCTGCTGCGTGTGCATGTACGTCGCGTGT